CCCAACCCCCACTGAGCTCCTCTCCTGCCCCAGCCCTTGCCCAGCTCCCCAGTGCCAGTGCCGATGCCAATGCAGAAAGGACTGTCATGGCTTCATTTCCAACAAAGGCCCATTTTCAGAATCCCCTACTTCTCTTTCTTCCCCTTGCTCTCTTCTCGCCCCTGCAACCTGGCTCAGGCCTCCCCTAGCCCAGCCGCTCTTCCCGCCCCACCCCTACCCTGCTGTGACCTCTCAGCTTCTCACCCAGGACCGCTCTGCTCGCCCCTTTTAAAAGACTGCAAGCTCTGAACGACTTGTCAGGTGTCTGGTCCTCTCTCCATTCTGTTTTCTGCCCTGGGTTATAGTTTCGTGGCTTCTGCATTGTCTGCTCTACTAAGAAATGCTCCTTGAGAGCAAGGACACTCTCCTATGCATCTTTATGGCTCTGGTCTCTTGTACAAGGTCATTCTGTTAAATCTCCATTAAGCAAAGGTTGTGTAATAACATCCCCGGCAACAGCCGCCGAGGTCAGAGATTTCCTCCGTGCCTCTCCAGTGCCAGGCCGGGCGCGGTGCTAAGCGCTGGGCTGGCTTTGTGTCACTTCACTCTGGGAATAACTCTGGCTCTGCGAGGTAGGGGAATCAGCACAGAGAGGTGAAGCAATCTGCCCGCACCAGTTCCTAGGTGATGGAACTGGTGCAGCGAGCCTGACTCCAGGGTCTGTGGCTGCGGTGGGGGGGGCTGGAGTCTTGGCGGGCCAGAGGGCCAACACCGTGGAGACCCCAGGGGCCCTGGGCATTGGCTACCCTCCCTGCAGGCTGCACATGTGTGGGGGGAGGGGGCGGCCAGTCCCCTCCCACCCCACCCATGGAAAACCATGGGCAGGAGCGCGGCAGAGGAGAGGGAGGCAGAGGTTAATGGAGACAAGTAAGAGCCTCCATCACACGGGCTTAAACAATGGAGCAGCGCACCACTTCACACGCGGCTGGGAGGACCATTAAAACCATTAGTGGGACATTAGCGCTGCTCCAGGAACTGGGGGGGGGGGCGCGGGGGAAGGAAGGTGCTGACAGCCTTCCTGCTCTGGGCAGAGCGAGGAGTTGGCGGGTGTGGGTGGGAACGAAAAAGAGCTGAGCCTGGGTAGCCTTGGGAAAGTCTCAGAACCTCCCAGTGTCTCAGCCCCGGTTCTATGAAATGAAAGGACAAGTGGGTGCTGTCTCTCTCCTTCCGGATCTGGGCGTGATTTCTACAAAAGGGGGTGTTGGTTCAAACACCACGCTCTCAGGAGAGGTCAGGATAATGTCCTTGTGGACATCAAATTTTACACGTACCCCTGCAGATAAGCAAGCGTTCACAAGGCAGGACGCCAAACGGCTGCCAAATGATTCTTCCAGCGTTTCCTTAAGCATCGTATATTTAAGGCGGCTCCCAGCTCCCCAGCCAGACAAAGCCCTCGACGTGCTCTGCAGGCACCGAGCAGAAGACACTCTCCCTCCTCCTGAGCTGGGTGCTAGACTGAGGGGTGGCTCACCCTTAGGGTTCAAAGGAGCACAGCTGCCCCCAGTACAGGAGGGAAGCAGGGCTGGGGCCGTGGTGCAGGCGCAGGTTCAGGGGTGGAAAGATCTGAGTCTCATTGCAGGTTAATGCCTGATCTTGGTAAGTGCTGACCGCTGGTGAGTCTCAGCCACAGAATCAGTAAAACAAGGATAATACGGGACTGCAGAGCTAAGAGCCGGGGGTGTAGTGGGTAAAGTGCTGAGCACAGAACGGGGCCACTAAAGGCCCACCTGCTTGCTCTCCTGTCCCTCCTCCTCCCTTGTGTAAGCGCTTCCGAAAGACCCCAGAGTGTTGATTTAGGTTTCCCTGCCTCTCTCTCACTTCTGTGAGAGCAGGGGGGGCACAGCCTTTGCTCGGTTCACCAATTCTCCTTGGTACCTGGCTCAGGTGCTCCAATAGACGGATGGAAGGAGATGGCAGGAAAACTAGAGAACCAGCTTATTTGCTAGGTGGAACACCAAGGCAAAGAGGACAAAGAGGCTCTGGAATAATATGGGAAATCTGCATTAGAAAGACAAAGCACGACCTCCCTGGTGGCACAAGGGGTTAAGCACTGTACTAGGAAGCAATCCGGCAACCTCTGCAGCAGGAGATCAATCCCCAGCCGGTCAGGGAGCTACCCACATGGTTCAGCAGACCTCTCCTGTCTCGTCACTGCTCCCCTCAGCAGTGTATTTCAGTAGATCTGCCTGTTCTCTGCCCCATTCTGTCTCTGACGAATCCTCTCACCTTCCCGCATCTCTGGCCTATACCCAGCTCTTGTATGCATAAATAAATAAATCTTTAAAAAAAAAAAATGAAAAAAAAAAAAGACAAAGCAGCCCGTGAAAGGTATACAGCATGTCCCTTTCCACTCCACGGTTAGAAGGGGGACATGGAAATGTCCGCAGCGATCTGGATGATGGGATGATGGTGGTTTTTATCACAAAGGCTTTTTGCTTTTTAACTACTGACTTTTCTACTGAGGCCATGTGCCACTCACGTAATTCAAACAAGAAGTATGAGGGAAAACCAAATGAGAAATGGAACAGGAGCAGGGGCGTCGAGAAGCAGGGGCCCGGCACTGTGGGCGCATCTTGCACACAGCCTTGCAAGTGGACATGAAGTCCGGGCAGCTGGGCTGCAGCTTTCACGGCTGCCTCCGCCCACCCCCCCCCCGCCCCCCGCCGAGTGTGGCTGCTCCCCCCCTTCTGGGAGCTCATCTTATCTGAGAAGGCTAAGGAGAACTCTCCCAGACAGCCCCATTTCAGGAAGTCTTCTTACCCTGACACTACAAGACAGATTCATCATCAGTGCAACTAAATATTTCAATTTTAGGGCCTCCCCTTTGGTGCAGCGGGTTGAGCGCTGCACTGTGAAGCTCTCCACAGCCTCTGCAGTGTGGGTTCGATCCCGGCCAGCCGGCGAGAATCCCACATGGCGTCTCAGACCTATCCTGTTGAGCCCGCGGCTCCCCTCAGCAGTGTATTTCTGTCATCTGCCTGTTCTGCTCCCCGCTCTGTCTCTGGTGAATCCTCTCACCCTCCCAAACCTCTGGCCTATACCCCGGTTCTTGTATAAAAATAAATAAATCTTTATAAAAAAATTTTTCAATTTTATATCCTTATGAGAACTGGACAGAGTAAGGGGGAGGGAGGGACAGTCCCATCAGGCTACACTTTCCTACTGTCAGCAAAGTGTGGTCCCTGGCAGCTCTTGGGGTCCATGTCTAAGGAGGGAGGTCCAGGGAGGGGTGGGGGGGGGTCTGACCTCCCAGTGTCTTGCAGCTCAAGGATCCCGTAAGTAGTTGCCACATTGAACGAGACCGCAAGAAAAATCTTTTCTCTTTGTGTGAATATTGTTAAGGGATTTTCGTATCACCTAATACCCTCTGCAGAGAAGGACCCGTTTCCCAGTATGTTAATCTGATGCACCGGACAGCAAGTAACCTGATTCTGGCCCTTTCACAAGCAAAGCCCACCACCTGTTCATTGTCTGCTGAAAGCAAAGCGAAGGAAAATGCTCTGCTCGCCTGACTATTGATTCCTTGGATAGCTAGTGCTGGAAAAAAATGAATGATTGGGAATTTTTTTCTCACTCAGAGCTTTGGGATGAAGAGCTTTTCAGCATTAATAAAATATCATTAATCTGGGTTCTCGGCTACATTAGGGCTGGGCTGATTTTCCATATTGCCTGCACGCTGGCCCCCAACACTACGTTGTCCTCCGCAGCATTCTGTGGTCGCAGCCATGCTGCATGGGATGGAGCCGCTTCTGTGGGGAAGGCAGGCCACAAGTTCCTCTTCAGAGGGAGCCAGAGATAATAGCACACGGAGCCCGACAGTGTGTCCCACGCCAGCAAGCAACTCCCTTATCACCGACACTCCTGCACACGACAACTTTGCCATTCTGAGCGGGAAGCCCCAGGGCAGCACCATTTCCCCTGACGTGCTTTCTGATTACGAGAGGGCTCTTAGGGATGTGACCATCACAGAACAGACACTCTTAGGTGACACGGGAGACGCTGCGACGCAATGGGTTGAGCGCCCCCCCACCCCCCGCCCTGTTATGAGCTGAGCTGGTATGGGGATAGGACGGCCGCCCCCAGTTCCTCTGTGGAGCGCAGAACTGGGGATGTTCAAGTAACCAGCTCAAGTCCTCAAACTGGGCACCTGGCTGGGGTCTGCATGCTCAGGCTGCCAAGAAAACCAGCTGCGACCACCCAGGGCTGGAAGTGAGACTTTGAATGGGGGAGAAAAGCACAAAGACACGGTGGGTTCGGATGTCACATCAGACGAACGAACGCATGTGAAGCCGGGTGTGGGGATGGCTGCTCTGGCCGGGGTGGCATAGAGAAGGCAGCGCTCACCTAGGCCTTCTTTGGAAGATCAGGCTTCTTGCTTTGCAGAGTGTGGGGAGGCAGGCGAGAGTGGTTTTCTTTTCAAGGCCTGTTTCCATGGCTCCTGCAGTCCTTGGCAACCCAGAGCTGGGGAGTCTTGGACAGCCAGGGACCCCAGGGCTTTATCTCACCCAGGCCACCCTCCAAGGCCCATCTTTCTGCCTTTCCTGTGCCCCAAGGGTAACAGAGGCTACAGGCAGCAGCCAGGACCCCCTTCCCTCTCTCTTCCTTCTCCCTGGGGAGAGGAGGCAAGTGAAGTAGCAGAAAAAGAGCAGAGCAGAGCACAAGAGTCAAGGTTTGCCCCCTTCACCCCCATACCCTGCCCTTGGGTGAGGTTTGGCAAAGCCTGAGCTTCCTGGGTTTCATGAAGACCTCAGGGGTTGTTCTGTCCAGCGGACCCTCTAACTAGGAGGACATGCTTTCCCTCCCCACTCAGCTTGGACCGCACGGCCTACATAACCAGGTAAGGGCCTCTTTGATTTCTAGTGTGTTTACACAGGCCATGGCCCAACATCGTGGACAGAATCCACCACATCCAGGCAGGTTTGGATGCCTCCAGGTGGGATGAGGGGAGACAGGTGCCTTACCTGCTCCTGGGAATTCATCACACGCAACTTCATCTGCTTCAGGTACGTGGAGGTAAGAGGCATGTTGTAATCGATAATCCCGGAGACCAGAGGCGAGGGAGGCTCGTTTTCTGGCAGAAAGAACAAAAGGAAACCCCTTCAGTGCTGTGGGCCACCAGTGGAGCCCCACACACCGTGTGGAGAACTCAGCATGGAGCCTGAGGAGGGACCCAGCCGCAGATGCTGGCCCAGCCACCAGTTTGTGGTCACCGGTCTGTGGCCAGATGTCACAAAACTGGTAGCTCACCCACCATCTCTGGACCACAGGTGTGGCCTGGATTGTATTAAAAATATTTTTAAATTAGTGCCAGTGTTTTGAGAGATTTTACATTTTAAAAATCAGGGATTTGGGGGCCTCCCTGGTGGTGTAGGGGTTAAGTCTCAGTGCTATCGCTGGTTGACCTGAGTTCAATCCCCGGCCAGGGAGCTGACCCAAATGGCACAGCAGACCTCTCCTGTCTTGTCTGCTGCTCCCCTCAGCAGTGTATTTCAGTAAATCTGCCTGCTTTGCCCCCCACTCTGTCTCTAGTGAATCCCCTCACCCCCAAACCTCTGGCCTACACCCCAGTTCTTGTATGCATAAATAAACAAAAAGAAATCTAAAAAAAAATCAGGGATTTGGGGCTTCGTTTGAAAAAGCAGGGTCTGGCCACACAGGCCACATGGCATATAACCAGTGCGTTTGAGTGCCAGCCACTTCTTTCAGACAAGGTGCGAGTGCCCCATTTTCCCACAGTCCCCACCATGTCCTAGTGTGCTGCACACCTTCCCTCAGTGATGATGCTTGAGTGCCCACAACCCCGGCAAAGCCAGCTCTCTTCCTGGTGAACACCCCCCTCCCTCATTCCCCCACAACCCCCTCAGGTACCATATGGCTCACTGGTCTGAGCCAGGCTTGCAGTACCTGCCCTCCCCCATTCTGGCTCCTCCTTAATCACACCGCGAGCAGCACTGTTCATCCCATTTATTGCTTTGTTGTTCTGAAGATCAAAGTAACGCGTGTTCTTTTTGTAGAGCATTTGCAGTGTGGAAAGATGTAAAGAAAAAAAATTTAAAGCCATAATTGCACCAAGCAGCTTGGCATATGCTTCTGTTTATTTTTTTCCCTGTGATTTCTCTTCCTTCCTTCCTTGATAGCATAATGCATACAGAGAATTATAGTCTGCTCTGGAAAAAAAAAATGTTTTTTGCTTAACATTTTCTCATAGGCTTTTCTCCCAACATCAAAAATTTGCTCTGCAAATATAATTCCCAAAGTCATGTACCATTTTCTCATAGTTCACGGAAGTCATTCTTCAATTGGTTGCTTAAGTTGTTTCCTATTGGGGACTGTTATAAACAACACTGCAGGGAACATCTTTGTGCATTAATATTGATCTTTATTTCTGATCACATCCTCTCTAGAACAGATCCAAGAAACAGAATTCATGGGGAGAAGGATAGGAATATTCAATAATTCCTGAAATCCCTGGCCAACTACCTTCTGCACAGGCTGCTACAGTAGACACCGCCCAGTCACTGTGTTCTGCATTGTAGGTGCCATGTTGGGAGAGAATGAAGGAATAAATGAAAGAAGCTGGGAGTCCATCACCCCTTTTCCAGTTCAGCTTACCCTTCAGATGTCTCCGACTATGGCCAAGCTCAACACCCTGGAGCAGTCACACTGAAGCTGGGACCCAGCTAGTCATTCAGTCACTCAGGCTGCCCTCCTTTGACTCTGTCTCATCCTCTGCCTGGGGAATAGTCTCGGTGCTGTATTCTCTAGCCCCCTCCTGCCTGCTTCTAAGGACTCTAGGACTTTTACCTACAAGGTTCTCCCTGATGCCCACTCCGGTTCATGGGCTGGAATTTGAGTCGTGCAGAAGAGGGAGTGATCTTTGGACCAAGTCCAGTCTGCCCTCCACCATCACTCGTGCCCCAAACACAGGCTGAAGGGGCAGCACATGCCAGGGCCAAGGGGGGAGAACGCAGAGGGTTCTCCGAGGGCGACTTGTTAAACCTATTGCTCCAGAGCCAGAATCTGGCCCGGAGTGGCCTCGGAAACACACACTGAGTCCAAGAACACTGAGACAAAAGGACAGATGCCGGGCGGTTCCACTTAGATGGAGTATCTAGAATATTCACATCACAGAGACAAAAAATAAGATCGAGGGTGTGGGGGACTGGGGTTGAGGGAGTAATGGGAAGCCATTGCTTCATGGGCACACCGTTGAGGAGGTGATGAAAAGGTTTTGGAACTAGACAAAGGTGAGGGCTGCTCAATGATGAGACTAATTCACGCCACTGGATTATATAATAAAAATTTATTAAAACGGCAAGTTTTATGTTGTCACTATTTGGCCACAAGAAAGGTAAAACAGGCCTCTGCAAACAAAGGGTGAAGTTACCCAGTGGGGACAAGGGATTCCTGCTTGGCAAGGGTAAGAACAGCCCTGCAGAAAACAGGGTCCCTGCAGACCCATCCCAGGGGGCCAGTGTGCCATTTTGAGGTGGTAAACTGGTGGTGACTAGACAGTGTGAGTGACATTTATTATAAAGTTTTATAAAACTATGGAACTTTCGGGCCTCCCCGGTGGCGCAGTGGTTGAGCGCTGGGTTGCGAAGCTGCCCACAGCCTCTGCAGCGCAGGTTCGGTCCCCGGCTGCTCCCCGGCCATCGGAGGAGGGTCCCACATGGCGCACAGACCTCTCCTGCCGCCCGCTGCTCCCCTCAGCAGTGTACTTCGGTCCTTCTGCCTGTTCTGCTCCCCACTCTGGCTCTGGTGAATTCTCTCACCCTCCCGCGCTTCTGACTGTACCCAGTGCTTGAATAAATAAATAAATAAATCTTTAAAAAAAAAAACTATGGAACTTTGCTTTGCTTCTTATTTTTTCCATTCTTAAGTGGTCCTTTATTGAAACATGTTCCTTTGCAGCTCTTAACTGGCAGGGTACCCCACCCCACTGTTGTCGATGCAGGGGCTGAAAGGTCCCAGGAACTCTTCAATAGTGTCGGGATCTTCAAGCTAGAGATGGTGCTGGCAGCTCTCCTCCCTGCTACCTGTGACTATGCAGGTGTCTGTCTTTTATCCCTTCTCCTTTTCCTAATAAACTCGTCCTTTTAAAATGTAAAAATGAATGAATGCATGCATGGGGGAGGGGCGAGAGAAAGCGAGGATGGGTGGGGAGGGTGGGAGGGAAGGGAGATCATCAGCGGCACATCTGCTGGGCTACGTGACAAGCTCATCTACAGTGATATTTCTGAGAAGGGATGGAGAGAGGGCACTGGCCTGGGTGGTTTGATGGAGGATGAGTGGAACACGTGCTTATATAGGGGAGTAAAAATGTTTAACCCCAAAGGGCCCCCCTGGTGGTGCAGGGGTTAAAGTCTCAGCGCTATCAAGCTATTTGCAGCCACTGCTGCATGAGTTGATCCCCTGCGAGGGAGCTACCCACATGGCACGGGCAGACCTCTCTTAACTTGCCCACTGCTCCCCTCAGCAGTGTATTCCAGTAGATCTGCCTGTTCTGCTCCTCACTCTGCTCTGGTGAATCCTCTCACCCCCAACCCCCACCTCTGGCCTGTACCCCAGCTCTTGTATGCTTAATTTTTTTTTTAAAAAAGTACCTCCAGGGGGCCTCCCCGGTGGCGCAGCGGTTGAGCGCTGGGTTGCGAAGCTGCCCGCGGCCTCTGCGGCGCCGGTTCGATCCCCGGCTGCTCCCCGGCCACCAGAGGAGGGTCCCACATGGCGCGCAGACCTCTCCTGCCGCCCGCTGCTCCCCTCAGCAGTGTATTTCGGTCCTTCTGCCTGGTCTGCTCCCCGCTCTGGCTCTGGTGAATTCTCTCACCCTCCCGCGCTTCTGACTGTACCCAGTGCATGTATAAACAAAACAAACAAACAAACCAGCAAACAAATAAATAAAGCATGCCTCTATAAAAAAAAAAAAAAAAAAAAAAAAAAGTACCTCCAAAATTGTAATAAATAACCCAGTGGGGAAAAAATAGACCCAAAAACACACAGAAATGGTGAGATTTCCACTGCTGCTTCCTGTCTCACAGCAGTTCCCTGAGGGCGCTGATGAGGAGCAGAAGCTGAGGGCACTGTCTCTACCTGGCCCTGTCCTGCATGGCCAATTTCACTGTTGTGCTCTGACCCTTTGTCACTGCTTGCCTTGGCGATGTCATCACCAATATTTTTGGGGGACAGACCCAGGAGCCCAATCTTGGGGGCCAAGGCAAATGTGGCACTGGCTTCTCCCAGTGCACCTCAGGCACAGGGCTCTGGTCTCGCTGGGTGGAGCTCAGGGAGCTTGGTGGAGGCAGCCAGTGCTGGGTGAACCTGGACTCCCCAAACCAAAGGAGGCTGCACCTTGGTCTCCTCCAAGCCAAAAGCCAAAAGCTGCTTTGCTTTTTACAGCTAGGTTGTCACATGCAGAAATTTTGTGTTCTTCGTAGCAGATTTGTGCTTTTCAAGGAAGAAGTAAATGTCAATAATAAAAAGTCTCAGCGATTGGCTTGAAATGGGCCAACCCCCCCTCCTTTTTTTTTAAAGGAAGTTCCTCTTGGGGCCTCCCTGGCGTAGGGGTTAAGTCTCAGTGCTATCACTGAGCCTGAGTTTGATCCCTGCCCAGGGAGCTAACCCATATGGCACAGCAGACCTCTCCTGTCTCACCTGCTGCTCCCCTCAGCAGTGTATTTCAGTACATATGCCTGCCAGTTCTGCTCTCCACTCCGTGGGGAGCCCTCTCTGGTGAACCCTCTCATTCCCCACACCTCTGGCGTCCCCGCAGTTCTTCTACATAATAAATAAATGAGTCTTAAAAAAAAAATTCCTCTTGGTTCCGTGACACCAATGCATATCAGTCCCTTGGGCTCAGAGGGCTGGTACTGGGGGCGGGGGAGGGGGGAGATAATGTGCTTTTGTGTCCTCACGCCCTCTTCTCCTTCCTGCCCCATCTCAACCCAGACTTGACGCTTTAAACCCAGGGGTATGTGGGGACCTGACACCACGAAATCCACAGGGCTGGATGCAACACGTGAGACAGACATTCGAGTGACGACTTGGAGACCGTATCACCCCCGAGAGGCGCGG